TAGTCAATGAACACAACATTACAGGAAACTACGTGATGAAAAGGTGCTCAACCTCGTTAGTAGTTCAGGGAATTTAAAACTAAACCACAATGAGAAAAAAAGCCAATCAGAAACATGTCACCTGTGTCAGCCCCCCTGACACTCATTGATTCTTGTCCCTTAGGCTATAAGTGACAAGAATCATACAGGTATGTGGAGTGTGGCTACAGACATTCATATACAGAGAGGTGTTGGGCAGATTTATTGTTTTTATTTGTACTGTAGTTTTCAATACTAAGGTAATTTTAAAAAATAAAGTCTAGTGGACTAGGCTATGTGTGTGCTAAGGTAAATGCCTGTCAAATTTAATGTGCATGTGAATGACCCAGCAATCTTGCTGAAATGGGATTTATGATTGATTCTGTAGATGGGAAGCTGGTATTTTGCATTCTAACAGGCTCCCAGGTGAGGCGATGCAGCAGCTCCAGGCTGCTGGACCACATGTGAAGGGTCTTTGCCCCCGCGCATCTAAGTAGACAGAAACTGCAGACAGCTGAGTGAAGCCAATGGTTTATAAACTGTCAAGGATGTCTGTTTCCTTTCAGTTGGTTCTCTGAGGCTGCTGCGCTTTGGAGTTCGACAGAATGAAGGCTACAGCTGTGTCAGGCAGGGTCTTCCTCCTTTGTCTGTTGTTTTGGAATGCTTCTGGACTTGAGCCAGGTATAAATAAGAAATATCTTTGGAAGATATTGATTTAAAGAGACATTTCTGAGGAACAGCTTACCCTTCCTCGCTGATCGTACAACAGTGAGGGTTGATGTTTCCCATTAAGCTTAGTTTAAACATGAAGTTAGCATGTTGAGGCTGTGCTTAAGGTCTTATTTTATTACAATCAATTTGATGGTTCTTCAGATTCAGTTTATATGATTAACGGCCTCTTATGAAAGGTTCATTTTATTTATTTATTTATTTATTTATTTATTTATTTATTTATTTATTTATTTATTTATTTATTTGGTTGTGGTCTGATTGTTCTTTATTTTATATCTAGAATCCACCAATGAGTGAGTACATACCATAACTGTCTTTCTGGGTTTGGGTTACCTCACTCAGGATGATTTTTTCTAGTTCCATCCATTTGCCTGCAAATTTCATGCTTTCATTGTTTTTCT